TCTCCTTCTTGTTCTTATCATTCTTATTCTTATGGCTCATACTTGTAACATTGAATATGGTTTGCAGTTTAATGCTATGGCAATTGTAAAGTTGTTGAAGCTACGACCTCGCCAAGCAAGGTCCACCTGTGCACGAGCAAAAGCCTCGCGAGGACCGTGGCTGAGTTTCGTTTCTGAAGCCGCAATGGATCCAGCGAAGCTTTCCTGCTGGGTGAAAGAAGTGCAAGAGGTTCGGCCAGCTTGACTGTGTCACTCGCTCTTGAAGCTGCCGTCATGATCGGTGCGCTTTCCTGAATCCTCGCGCATGCCTGCAGACGTAAGTAAGTGTGTACATGCGGTGTTTTTGTGAATGTCCCTGAACGTTTCGCATGACACTTCATACATGCCTTCGAAGAGATGGGGGGGGTGCCCGAGTAAGAACAAGTCAGAAGGCTGTGGCTTCTTGCATCCTTGATGCTCATATTTGTCAAACTGTCAGCCAGGGATACTGAAAGACGCAGAAACTCCTAACGGCGAGTGGGCGTTAGCTTGGCGAATCGGAAGATGCTTGCATCTGTATGCAGGAAGTTTACCCGGAATTGAACCCTATAAGATATAGATCTGACAGATTGAAGTCGGAGAAATTCTGCAGCGAATGGCTCAGTCTTCCCGTTGTGGGTGATTTCTGTGCAAACGAACCTGGATTCTCAATTGCCTGGCCCTTGGTGCAAGGTTCAGCTGGGGCGTAGTGGAACAGTCGTTGCATGTGTCTGACAGTGACTGGCGCACGGGCTGCCTTGTCATGTGGATAGCTTAGGGGCTGATGATTGAGGCTCTCTGCTCTCGTCGCAAGAGCGCTCATCCAAGGCCAGCCCGACGAGATGTTCATCGTGAACTGGCCGCCTCGCCGCAGCACAGCTTTGCCAGTCGCCATTTGACACATGAACATGCTTAGCATGACCCTAAACCCTAAACCCTAAGCCCTTGGAAATTTAGGGTTCGCTGTGTGCACCCTGCCCAACCTGCCGAAGAGCATATATCCTCAAAACTTGCTTCTGCTCGCCTGCCCCTCAAAAGCTCAACAGCCCTGCATCGTTTCGAGGTTCTTCGATGTGCTGGGCTACCTAGGGCTGGGGAACAAGAACGCGAAGATCCTGTTCCTAGGAGCGCCCAGTGTGAGCTTATTGATTGATCAAGAGAATGTGGTCTGAGTGTCCGGATTGCCCGGTCAGTGATGCATACTGCAGAGCAGAGCCTTTGGTCTGTTAAGGCCCTGTGGCTAACATCGTAGAGACGCTTCCATGGTCCACATTAATTCTGGCCAGGTGGAGACATTCTGGCTGTAGGGTTAGATCAGCACTACAGCTGAAGTCTCTGAAATTTTGCATAAGGCATGAGCGAGCAGGACTTGACAACGCCGGGAAAACAACCCTCCTCCACATGCTGAAGGACGCAGCCACGTCGATTTAGGGAACGGAAGACTCTTTAGCTTCCTACAACTCGACCTTTTGCCGACATCTGTTTTCAGCCTTTTAAGCCGAGGATGGGTTCATTCCTGCCACAGTTTGGTGTGCCAGGATGATCGGATCGCCACGCACGTCCCGACTCTGCATCCGCACTCCGAGGAGCCGAAGTGCTCACGTACAAATCTGACCAAGTCTTGCTCACTACTAGGTTACTAGGGTTTAGGGTTTGGGGTTACTGTACCTGGCTTGACAGGTTGCACACAGTCTTCACTACTACACTTCCACGTGATGTTTCCTCGTCTGATCCATGCCACAGAGCATCCTCGTGCCATGCTCAACTCAAGCGTATCTGAAGACGCTTTGCATGAGCACACTCGGAGGAGCTAATGATCAAGAATATCCGCTTCCGCACATACGATCTGGGCGGCCACGAAACAGCAAGGCGTATTTGGAAGGACGCGGAGTAGAGACGGTGACTCGAGGTTGCCTTTGCAAGATTGATTAGTCTGGTTTTCAGATCAGACTCCAGAGCTTTTGGGACGGCCCAAACCCTAAAGATAGACCATCAACACCATGGCTTCGGTCGAAACCAATGGCCCTCTTGCAAAGATATGTTTGAGGCTCAGCTGGATCGTATTATCAGTTTGAGAGGGGCATTATAGCACTATGGTACTATAGTGCTTATGTGTTCAGTGCACCCGCCACCTGGAGGACTACTTTGCTACGGTCGTTGCCCTGGTTTTGCTTGGGAAGGTGCAGCAATATAGGGGCATTGATAATTTTAACCGGGTTGGGGCAAAGGTTCAGAATATTCATGCTTCTATCTTATGCAGGGCTCTGTTCATGTGCAGAGTTTGCCCGTGAGTCAGCTCCCCTCCACGGGTGGCACAAGGCCAGCTCCGCTTGACTTTCTCTGTTTTGGGTTCCCTTATTAGAGCCGCATAGTAGGAAAAAGGGTACCCTTATTATGAAGGGGCTACTGGGGAACCTAGAGAAAGAAACGCCCAGGTGGATGGCATTGTCTTCCTCGTCGATGCTGCAGACCGTACTCGTTTCCAGGCGTGTTGGATAAAAGCATTATCGTTTTCAATTACCTCATTGAAGGCCTGGAGAAAGGGTAAAACATTTGATGACATCTGTCCGCCGAGGCATCAAACCTAGAAGGGATCTGAACCTGTCTTGGAAGAGACTTCTTCCTCTCTGAGCCAAAACCCTACCCTGACATCCAGCCCCAAAGCCCTAAACCCTAAACCCTATTATTCTTATTATTATTACTACTGTAATTATCATTATTATTCCAATTATTATTATCAGGAGGCCAACGAGGAGCTGAACGGGTTGCTCAACGAGCAGGCGTCGGGAAAGGGGTGTGATGATTTTCTGGGCAAAGTTTTCGGCATGGCTCCCATGATGGCTCCCACGAAGGGCAAAACGCTAGGGGACCCTTGTTGCCCTGCAGTAGCAGCCCCAATGGGAACTGTGGTGGACTTCTTCTTTCCATCGCTCCAAAACGAGGCATTGGCCAGCGTTCCCTTCGTCGTGCCAGGGACTTAGCACGATTCGAGGGTTACCTCCGGGCGCTGCTCAGAGCCACTGTAGCGTATGGAACCCCGCGCAATGCGTATTGAACTAGCTCCTCTACTACGAATTCAGGAAGCTCACTCCTTGAACCCGTGGACCGCGCCTCCTTGGCAGCGTGGCACAATGCCCAAACCCTAAACCCTAAGCCCCAAATGCTAAACCCTAAACCCTGGGCTGGGCATCCCTTTAGAGCCCATTGCCCCGAGGCTGGGCAACAAGATCGACATCCCCACAGCCGCCTCCGAGGATGAGCTCAGAAACTCCCTGGGGTCTGCAGCCTCAGGGGCTTCAGCAATAGTAAGTGGTATCCATTTATAAGCAGCATGTAATCAGTGTAAGGGTAAGAATACGACTAGTAAGAATAACAATAATGATAATAAGAAGAATAAGAATACTAATAGTAACAATAATGAAGTGGTAGTAAGAATAGTAACAATGCCAAACAACAATATTAACAGCAAAAACAATAACAGCAACAATGATGCTGTTCTGATTTGTGCTTTGAGGGCCGCCAGGGAGTGTCTCTGTTGGTTCTTGGGATGGTTACTGCCAAAGCGCACCGGTCGACCCTTTTTGCAGTTCCCTTTTGCATCCTGAAACCTATATGGGTAGTTCTCTAAATTCGGGTCCCTTGTAGGGTCCTTTTTTATAAGGGTGCCGTGCTATATTGGGGACCTAAAAGGGGCCCTAATTTTGAGAACCACCCATACCGCGAAGTCGGCCCTTGAAGGTGAGTTGGTTTTGACCTTTCGTTGCCGCTGGCTTCTTTCAGGATGTGATCGCGACTGGATTTGCACTTCTGAGGCTGTTCAGCCACATGACCTACGGTCGGGACGCGCGGGTCTCGGTCGCTTTTCAAGAAGCGACAGGGCCCTGGGATATTTGGAAAGAGCCGTTGCCTCCGAATTTCCGAAGAAGGCCAAGCCCCAGAGCACCTGAGCTTCGAGCCCCGATACCCCGAGGCCAAAAAGGGCGACAGCAGTGTTCGCCCTGTGGAGCTTTTCATGGTCAGCGTTGTGAAGCGCGGGGGTACTCAGAAGCGAAGGGGTGTCCATACTTGCAAAGAGCTTCCTTACTCCTCCTCGGGCATTGCCCGCTATTCTGCATGGAATGTCTGTGAGCAAAGGGAACAGTCGAATGTGTGTACGCTTAAGCCATGGAGCCGAATGCAAGGTATGGGCTACGCCGAGGCTTTCCAGTGGCTCTCGCAGTTCCTGAAGTGAGGCAGGGCATGGCAAGATAATCTGGGGCACAGCGCAGTTCCTCCAACTCGATCCAACGGGCGATATCTCAAACTTCTCACGCCTGCGAGGTCAGAGATACTCAGGCTCCGGCGTGAGAGACGGATTTCAGAATCTAGTCTCCAAGCCACGCAAAGCGTAGCGTGGAGGATTTTCACTTCGAGATGTGCTTCGCGAACAGCTACCCCCTCCAATTCAAGCCTGAAGCTTCAGCGTCGAAGCTTCACAGCTTTCCGAATTTTCCACGTCATAATTCGGCACTAGCTCCGCGAGGTGTTGGCCTCGTCGATTCGAGCTCCCGGCCGATAGCGAACGTTTGAAGTGTGGTTTCTTTTTATGCCAAAGCCCGTTGCAGTCCTTTGTATGCACCGTGCGTCTGCGTGAGGGATGCCAAGGTTCATGTCTTAGTTCGTCTGCAACGCTACGATGTGGAGACGCTTTCCGAGACCATAGAGGGAGTTATAATGAATGGCACGACTGCTTGCCTCCATCCTTGAACACAGTCTGTTCCCGACTACTGCTTAGATCGGCGAATGGCGTGTTTTGAGAGAAGGCGGCAATTCAGAGCAGTAGAATGCAGTAGAGCCATCAGCGCCATGCAGGAAACTGCGGGAGCTCGAATGTTTCACCTATGCATACGAGAAGGAATCCAGCTACGATCAACAGTTCAAGCTGAAGCGAGTATGAAGTTGTCGTTCACGGCATGTCACGGACTGTTGCCCATCATTTGGGCGGGCATCTCCAAGAAGCCATTAGTCTCATCTCCCCGCATTCTGTACTCTCGAGCTGGTGGGGATGAGATCTTCGGGCAATATACCTATCATGTACTATGATATACTACAATATGCTATGAGATTCTAAAATATACTATGATATACTAAGTTGTGTGGGACTTTGTGCTTGCGACCGAGCAGGGCAGGACACTTCAAAAGACTTCAAAGACCAAACCTGCCCGAAAGCTGCGAAGGAGAACAGGAGAGCCGGAGTGGTTCAGATCCGATTCTTGATAAGGAGACACCGTAAGGACCTTGGGACCCAAAGCCTTAAGCTTCTTGGGGCCGCATTAGAGCTTGTCCAAGATGCTAAAGATGGAAGTGTGAGTTTGAGCTGGTTCCCGATGGTGCATGGCCTCTCGTCGCGACATGTACTTGTTTCGATATACCTGGCCAAATGAGCACAGTGGCATCTGATCTCTGCACTTCACGTCCAATGCTTCACTCCGAGCTCGGACCTTGCTCGCCGCTGGAGGCAGGATTGCTCAATGCAAAAGACAAGATTGCACCTGGCCCGATTATGTATCTGCTTAGCGCCTTTCCATCAATGTCCGCAAGAAGAAGGAGTAGTCCACCGCATCGGATCTCAGACCAAGCAGGCACTGGATGGCACTACACCAGCATGAGAACCCGCAGACACGCAGAAGCATCCATCTCGGCATGGAGACTTCCCCCGGCGAGTCGCAAGGGCAGACTGGAGAGTTGGAAAGGCCCGCCAATCTGTTGGCCAGGTGATATGCATGTATTTACATGTGTATATATATATATACATATGTATACATAAACATGGTCATGACGATGGTCATGATGATGATGATGATGATGACGATGATGTTGCTGACGATAACAATGATGATAACGATGACGAAGACGGCAACAGTGGTAGTAGCTGTAGCAATCAGAATAATGCTCGCAACCATAGTAAGAACATGACAGTACATGATGAAAATCGCTCGTCAGATTTATGTTCAGGAAGTATCTCTACAAAGCACGACACATTGATATCTCGTACTGTCGATGGGGTCGGCGAAACCAGGGTCCCAAGTCGCCGTGAAAGAGAGCCCGAACTCTGCAGTGACCTCCAACAACCTACTAAGTCTAGTAAATTAGATCCTGGCACTACATTTAGATCTAGAAGACGCCTCCCACCCGAGAACGGACGACCCGAAAACACGGCACTCCAAGATGCACCACCACAGCACTCTGTGCGCACAAGTGCACATGCGCGCACACGCACACATGAAGCACAAATGCTGCAAGTCACGTCTTTGGAGTAGCGCAGAGGAGGATACGAATCGCGCACATGCTTCCTAATAACACTTGAACAGATAACGCAGGTCAGTGAAAGCATGTGCTCAGCATCCCACCACCCAAGTTGTAAAACGTCAGACCGTACTGGTATCCTGCCACTTGCACCGGATCCTCCGTCAACAGCGCCGAGGCCAAAACAAGGGAGTTAGAATGTGCGCCCCGAGTTGTAGCATCCAAATCCGGTTCTCTGTTCTTGAGGCTTGTGGGGCGCTTCTTCTCGGTGGGCCACTCCAACAATGAGGCCGACCAGTTCTTGAGGCTTCTGGAGAAACACAATGTCAAGGAGAGCCGAGCGAGACCGGGGGAAGCACTCAGCCTTTTGGTGCATTCCCAATTAGGGCTGAAGTTTGATCTGCTGTCAACTGAATCCTGAAAGTCGCTCTCTTCCCGGATCTTGCAAAGAGCAAGACGTCCCCGGTGCCTCATTGCGGAGGAGCTCGTGGATGTGCGCAGCATCCCCTCTAGTGGCAAATTCCCGCACTTCAAGCACCTCGGTCGAGAGCACAGAATCGAGGAAGCCATGTTTCTGCTGGTACGCTGCAGGTGTCAGTCGTGTGATGCCGGTGCCGTTAACCTGCTCGTTCATTTAACTTCCCAAAAGAGGCCATATTTCGAGAGGTTGACACTCCAGAGATCACTCACAAGCATCACGACACCTGCCAAGACCATTTGAGTATGGTATAATATAGTACCATATCGTGTAGCATAGTCTAAAATAAGATACCAAAACATAACAGACTCTAACGCCTTTACTCAGCTTGTCTTGAGTGTCACGAACGGACGCGAGCAGCAGGCGGAACGCACTTCAAGCCCAGTGCCAGCGCCGAGGTATCGCCTACCGTGCCTTGGCGCAATAACAGCCGTGAGGCGGTTGAAAAGCCAGACCCCCAAACCCCCAAACCCCTAAACCCCCAACCCCTAAACCTTAAACCCCTAAAAACCCGAAACCCCCTAAACCCTAAACCCACCCTAAACCCCTAAACCCCTATTGGTCAAAGCCGACACAAAAGCAGAAAGGACTCCGACCCAAACCCAAGGCGGAAGGCACCAGGGCTCTCTCCACCAGTCCTGCTTCCGTCTTCTGAGTGCAGGGAAGATTTCTTCCCAGATTAGAGAACTGGAGGCCATTGCCCGCAGCTGGGCAACAAAGGAGCGTGCGCCTCAGAAGGTGGAGACAAGGTCATGCCATGTTATATCATAGAACTCAAACCTTACCTGACCTCTTGCTTGAAGCTGACAAATGAGCACTGCTGGGCCGACAGGGCTGGTCTTGGCTCCGTGAGCAACATAGAAAGTGGGGGATTCCCAAGGCACACTAGCTCGCGTCGTCCTGCTTACACTGACACACCTGCTGATCGTCAATGCGTCGCTGCGTTGCATCCATGGCAATGCCGGGTAGAAATGCAAACGACGGAAGAGCGAGTTCAACAAGAGCAGTCTAGTGTGACAGACTCTGAAGGAGCACAGCTCCCAAAGCCTAGCTGGAGTCGGAGTAGGCTATGCCGCCGATCAGAGGAACATGAGATGGGATCACGTAAACAAGACCCGGGTGGCAATATGTTGTTGCTGACCATAGGAAAGAGAACGACGGCGTTCGTAGCGTGACCTACAGTGACTGTGGGTATTCAAGTCATGCTCACGACAAGCACCAGCGACGAGCCTTACTTTCTGTGATACTCGTAGACCGGCGACGAGACTATTGAGTCTTGCGCGCCCTGGCTGCTGGCACGGACGTGCTTCGCGTGCTACCGTTCTCCTTGACATGAGGCAAGCCAGCCACACCCAGATCGTTCCGTAATTCTTTGCAGACTCGTGCTGCGGTACTTGCCTCTTTTGAAAGTACTATTAATACCCAAGTCGCTGCTCAGGTAGATGGTGGCATCCTGGCCCTACTTGCTACAGAGGATATTGGAGCTTGGTGCAGCTTTTGACTCTGCGATATGCAGGGTGCGCTGAAGGGAAGTCCTCAAGAACCTAAACCCCAAACCCTGAACCCTAAGCCCTAAATCTTGCACTGCGCTTCCTCCAAGAAGGACGGCGCAGCAGCTCTGGAGAAGTTGGCCTCCAGCGCCCGCCAGGTCTTCCAACTGAGACCTTCAATATTTCGGAATCTTGGAATTTGGGAGTTTCCGAAAATTAGGGGCACCTTATTTGGGGGGTCCATATAATAAGGATCCTACTATTAAGGTACTATATTAGGGTCTTCGGAAGCCCCCATTTCTTGCATCATGAGGACCATTTCTTGTTGATACCTGTCGGTCGACTTCTGGAACTCCACAGGCATCGCGAGTGTGGATGTGTATCTTGACCCCGGCTTGCTGGTGTGCGTAAAAGCAGCGGGGCGGGCGGGTGGGCGAGCATTTAGGTATGCATCTGCTTTACCAAGGCTGTGCGCTGGAGCAACACAATGGAAAATGCAAGAACAAGTACCTTCAAAAGAGAGCTGCGCATTGGAAAATCATTGCATAGCAAGTCTTCGCGAGGTCTCGAAGGCATTCCGTTTCTCCTTAAAGGATTCCAAATTACGTGATGCACCTGGAATAGCATTCGACGGGGGCAGGGCAACCAATGCCGGCCTAACGGTCGTCGGACTCTTTCTTCATAATTGTTGTCGACTTGTCGGGTCCTTCGAGGCTTGCCGGGTCTGAGGTCCGCGTTGTGGGGCTTGCCGGCTCCTTTGGGGCTTGTGGCAGGTTCAGGGCTCGGCGGGTCTGGGCTTGCTGGGTCCTTCAGGGCTCGGCTTGCCGGGTCCTTCAGGGCTCGGCTGGTTTGGGCTTGCCGGGGAGCTTGCCGGGTCCTTCCCGCGTCCTTCAGGGCTCGGCGGGTTTCAGGGCTGGGCGGGTCTGGGCTTGCCGGGTCCTTGAGGGCTCGGCGGGGGCTTGCCGGGTCCTTCAGGGCTCCGCGGGTATGGGCTTGCAGGATCCTTTCGCATTGTCGGGCTTGCCGGCTCCTTTGGCGGGTCCTTCAGGGCTCGGCGGGTCGGGGCTTGCCGGGTCCTTCAAGGACGCGGATTGTCGGGCTTGCTGGATCCTTCGGGGCTTGTGGCAGGTCTGGTGACGCTTTCGGTCAAGGGCTTGCCGGGTCCTTCGGGGCTCGGCGGGTCTGCCGGCAAGTCGCTTCGGTCGTGGGGCTTGCTGGGTCCGGCGGGCACGCGGTTGTCGGGCTTTTGGGGCTTGGTGGGTCAGGCAGCAACGCTGAGCTTGCCAGACCGGAATCTCCACAATTGTTGCGACGACGCGCGCTTTCACTTTATCGAGTTCTTGCAGCTATGGCGTGTTTTGTTCAGCAAAAGGTCCAGTTATCAAGTGTTTCTCCTAGCAAATCACAAATATCTTCATAACTTCGCTGGAAGCACAGCGACAGTTGCCCCAGAATCACTACAATTCCTGCAACGACACACGCTTAAACACTGTCCTAAAACCTGAACCCCGGACCCAAAACCTTAAGCTTTATCGACCATGTTTTGGCCCTTCCAGCGTTTTTCGCGTCGCGACACCAAGCAACGACAAAGCCCGGTTGCATCGCATCATCCTCGGATGCCGTTCTGCAGATAGGACGGAGGATTTGGGGGTTTCCGAGAATAGGGGGTACCGTATTTTGGGGTCCTTATAATAGGGATCCTACTATTTGGGGTACTATATTAGGGTCCCCTATTTTTGGGAATCCCCATTTAGGGTTTAGGGAAAGCCTTGTGTAAAGTGTTCTCGCCACATGAACACATCCCCTGGGACCAGTTCCCAACCATTAGGCTGATGCACATGTGGGAGTTTCCGAAAATCAGGGGTACCTTATTTTGGGGGCCTTATAATAAGGATCCTACTATTTAGGGTACTACATTAGGGTCCCCTATTTTCGGAAGCCCCCATGTTCTCCGGTCAAAACCAGTCTTTATGTCCACCCTCCCCGCCCCTCCGCGCCCGACCCCGAGGCCACGCTGCTGGGCCCGAAGACAGCGATGATGTGCGCCGAGGCTCTTCGAAACGCTTCTGGGCGAGTCAGACCCGCCTCTTTGCTCTTGTTGCAGACGTAAATATGAAGCAGATTACAATATACAAGCGATGGTAACGGATAGTGTATAGTGAGTGATCAAGTACACAGTTTACATACAAGGAACATAGTAACAAGTAGAAAGTATTGTGTCTAGAAGTGTTGCATTGGAGGCAGATTGGCGCGATTGCCATCGGCAAGTGGTGGCCCAGAGACTACTGGAGGATTTCGGTGCGCCACCAGCGGAACGGGGTTAATGAGGAAACGGGACTTGTTCGGGGGAGACCTTGCAACGGTGAAAATCTAACGAGTCTGGTCTGGTGCAATCTCTGAAGCCTGCTTCTCACCCATGTGCGGCGACGATCAGCAAGCAAAATCATCGCAGTCAACACCACTGCTGCCTGCGCTGCATGACTGCAGATGAACAAATGATCTCTTTTTCGTGAAGATAGAAGTTTGTGGTAGGCATAGTGGTCGCGCACATCAAGCGCGACGGGTCGCTGGAGCACCATCCCTCTGACCATGTGACATGGCACCGCATTAGATATCTGCTGCAGGTCATTCAGATTCAGGCTACGCGTCTTGAGTTCGAAGAGGTCTTTCTTATTCATTCTCGTTTTCCACGAACTTTAGAGAGCCGGCAATGCCGCAGTGGTAGTCACTGCAGAGACTGCCGCGCCTTACGTTCTGATAAAGTATGGGACAGAATATTTGCTAGTAAGTCTCTTTAGGATTCGTGTTGCTATCTAAACTTTATCAGACCCACAACCCTAGTCTAACAATGAGGACCGTGTATTGCAAATCTTTACGTGGAGGTTCATGGGTAGTTATAAGTGGAGTTATAAGTCCCCTAATATGGGTTATAGTTATAGTTACCCTACTTATAACCCTACTTATAACTACCCATGAACCTCCAAGTAAGGTTCTGCCACCATACTTCGGGGCGGCCAGAGCTCCGACGTTGGCTCCCCGATTTGCCTCCGCCTATTCGGCAGAGGCCGCTTTGAGCTTCGGTGTGTTTGCATCCTTTGGGGCTTTAGGGTTTAGGGGTGGGCGGCGGGCACCACGCCTCTCTGAGTCTCTCTCGCTTTGCCATTGTTGAGCAGTTTGAGGTCCTGCTGCCCTCGTTTAGATCGCGAGCAAGTTTCGGAGTAGTTGTGTACAATTTATGTCAGTGGAGAGCCTGCAGAGCATTAGAGCTGAAAGCGACGTTTCTTCCTTCGCGCTTCCACTGCACGACCGACATTCTTGCTTCCTCGCAGTGACAGGGTGGACCTGTGTTACAACATGCCAGAACAGATGCAAAACGTGCCAGGCCTTGTGCTGTGCAGCGCGGGACTTGGACCACTTGTTGAGCATCTCCCAATGTCCACTCGCAGCTTCATTGCGCCCCCCGATATCCATCTGGCATACTGCACAAAGTGTGCCCAGGATCTTAAATTCTGCAGCCGACGAAATTGAGCACCAGCAGCCCGAAGCATGCTGAGGAGCCCCTCCATGCTGGCTATTCCCGCGCAGGCAAGGGCCCCAGGAGAATTGCATGATAGGAACCGCGGATCCTTCAAATTGATAGGACCCATTGCTCACGCCAATGGAGGTGGCAAGCCATGGCCAGCCTTCAGCGGGAAAAATCACCCTAAACCCTGAACCCTTGAATTTGTGTGTGTGTGTGTGTGTTGTTTGGGCGGAGGTGCTGTATATACAACTGGGTGGTTGTCAAAATTATGGTCCCTTTTTGGGTCCTTATTATAATACGGCACCTATTATCTAGGGTACCCCAAAAGGGACCATAATTTTGACAACTACTCAACTATATGTAGAATAGGGGGCCCTAATTAAGGGACAAGATGGAGGCCCGAGCCTGGCTGGAGCTGGGCCCGGTGACGGGCCGCTTGGGGACCGCGCGGCATTTGCGCAAAGGCCACTCGACAGGAGTTGTGTTCTTCAGCCGAGTTTTGCAGAGGAGTCATTGGTAGGTTCCGGATTTTGGACACAAAGTTCCTTCGAATCGCCTCCGCCAGGGATCCCCTGCAGATGCCGCATACGCCTGCAGCGCCAGCTGCTGCGGATCTACCACCAGAGCCGCCGTCATCCGAGGCTGCCCCGTTCTACTCTGCCCATAGACCGGCCTGATTTTGCGTGCCCTTCAGGATGTCCCATGATGTCCCTCCCTGAGCTGCTGCCAGGCCGCCAAGGATGCCAAACCGAAGCGCCGGTGGGGGCGTGTCTGACCATTTTGTGACCTAGGCCGCCGGGTGATGTTCAGCTTCCTGTCCCCTGCGTCCCGTGGAGCTGACTGTACAGAGATCAGCAAGGCCAGAGAAGGGAGCCCGAGGTCACACTAGAGGGGCTCAAGGTTTTCTTGGCTGATAGAGAAGAACTTCAGGCCTCGGACCCTTCGTGGCACCTGGTTTCACGGAGATGTGTACAGCCTCGGGGCTTTTGCCTGGAGCCGTGAGCCAAAGGCAAAGCTCAGCACAACACGAAAAATCGGCTCAGTTCCGAATTTCTGCCGGAGCCCCCTCGTAACCCTTTTTGTTGCCAGGGATTGGCGCAGGGGTTTGGTTCTTGCAGCTTGCTGTCCGAAGGAGAGCTCATTCTCAGAAGCCCTGCCATGAAGCTCGCACCCTGAGATCCCGCCAACCACCAGCACCCCCAGGCCCAAGACCCTCACTGCATCGCAAGCACATCGCATGATCATTTCTGTTTAAGGAAAGACCTGAAGGCCAGGGCCCAATTCCCTCGGTGCCTCGATGGAGCTGGGCGAGTCGAAGATCCCAGGCCGAAGGCCCTCGCTGGAGCTGCCACCGCGGCGCGGCGCATGGGCAGAGTCGCGTGACGCAAGGAAAGCCGATCTTATTTCAGAGGCTTGAGGCCGAGATCTTGGGATGTGGCGCGGAGGGGGGGGGGGGTAGTCCTCGCTTGTCCGCATTGATGATACAAACAAGCGCGACACCAGAGAAGCAGAATTGGGTGTTCGAGCCGCTTGCCTGTCATATACCTGTGCAGAGTTTTTTGCCAGGAACGAGCAGAGACCGACAGATAGCCAGGCACGGAGGGGGATGTGAACGAGCTGTCTCCAGTCTCCAGGGTGAGATGCTGCAGAGAGAGAAGGGCACACCTATGCTTGTCTATGTCAATGTGTGCTCTCATTAATAAAGTCTTACGACCATGCCCAACAGTACTTTCTGACCTTCACACTCCGTGTACACTCTTGCGCGGCGCCTTGCAGCCTTTGAGGTCTTGGAGGCCTCCGAGCCCGTTTCCAACCTCGACGACACAAGGACGGGACATGCGGGCGAAGTCTTTCGCCTCTGCTGGTGCTTTCTGTGTTGCCCAGGTCTCAGGAGTCTGCTGACCATGAAGAGCAGGCGGTTCCCGACCTGTTCAAAGAGAGGACTCGGCCATGACGTTGGTTCCTTCGGAACTGAACCTGTAACCCGAGAGCTCACAGACTTCTCTCCATGCAGGAGAGCAGTAATGGAAGACGAGGCGCGGAAGGCAGAAGCCTACGAGGAGGCCAGCCCAGCATTCTCAAGTCGTCTTTTTCCAGCTCCTAGTTGGACGTGGCGTCGTGCTCGTGGTGTGATGCCGTTGGGGTACCGGAGCAAGGCATCGGTTGTTGAAGTATCTTTACCTGAATCGTAAATGCAGTGTTTCCAGGCTCAAACTCAACAAGAGCGGTCTTCGGATTCCAGCAGGGACTGCGTACAGCCATACATACTGCTAGTATTATGTAAGATCATGGTAACACATGTCCAGTACTATCCATAGCATTACGAAACTTGTCAAGATAAATGACACGAGCATTCGTCACGCTAGCATTATCAGGTTATTGGCTGCCAGCAGCAGCAGCAGGAGGAGCAGGGCAGCAGCGGCAGCAGCAGCGGCGCCAGGAGGAGGAGGAGGAGGAGTGGGAAGAGGAGACGGAGCAGTACCAAATCAGGCATACATGTAGGGAGACTCTCATAATTTCATGTAATGTTCTTCTGTTCTATTACGTTTTGCCATTTTACCGTAGTGGATTATCGCCCCGGCTTCGGAAAGGCCCTCCGTGCCGAGGAGGAGCAGCTCGGTGCCAAGGCCGTTCAGGCCCTGAGGGGTTTGGGCTTTTTTGAGGATTCTGGTGAGGTTTTCAATGTATTTTTGGTTTTTAATCACGAAAGCTACCGGTAGCGCAGCGAGGCTTTCGTTTCTATCTAAGGAAGCAGTGGGCCGGGACCGCCGGCCCAGACGCAAACGAATTGAAATATTATTTATATATATATATATATAGTACCTCCCCCCCCATGGATCTACCGTTTTCGTGTGCTGGCTGCCCCCCCCACCACACGAAAACAGTGGATCCTTCAGGGGAGGGCCTGCTGCCGATGCACAATTTTGTGGGTGGGTTGGTGCTACCCTGGCCCGATTGAACTCAATCGGGGCCGATTGAGTTCAATCG